TGATGTTCCACCCTCACCGCAAGGCCACCCTGCTCACACGCGCCTGGCTGGTGAGGAGCGGGGAGGGGGGTGAGGGTGAGGGGTGAGGGGTGAGGGTGATGTTCCACCCTCACCGCAAGGCCACCCTGCTCACACGCGCCTGGCTGGTGAGGAGCGGGGAGGGGGGTGAGGGTGAGGGGTGAGGGAGGGGGGTGAGGGAGGGGGTGAGGGGGGGGGTGAGGGAGGGGGTGAGGGAGGGGGGGGAGGGGGTAGAGGGTGAGGGAGGGGGGGTGAGGGAGGGGGGGTGAGGAGGAGGGGGGGTGAGGAGGAGGGGGTGTGAGGGGGGCACACACGGCCATTGTGGACCCGTGTGTGTGTGTCTGTGTGTATCTGTGTGTCACTGTGTGTGTGTGTGTCACTGTGTGTGTGTGTATCTGTGTGTGTCACTGTGTGTGTGTATCTGTGTGTGTCACTGTGTGTGTCACTGTGTGTGTCACTGTGTGTCACTGTGTGTCACTGTGTGTGTGTCACTGTGTGTGTGTGTGTCACTGTGTGTGTGGTGTAGGCGCTGGTGAGGCTGTTCTCCGTGTGTGTCACTGCGTGTGTGTGTGTGTGTGACTGTGTGTCACTGTGTGTGTGTGTGACTGTGACTGTATGTGTGTGACTGTGTGTGTTACTGTATGTGTGTGTGTGTGTCACTGTGTCACTGTGTGTGTGTGTCACTGTGTGTGACTGTGTGTGTGTCACTCTGTGTGTGTGACTATGACTGTATGTATGTATGTGTGTGACTGTGTGTGTGGTGTAGGTGCTGGTGAGGCTGTTCTCTGTGTGTGTGTGTGTCACTGTGTGACTGTATGTATGTGTGTGTCACTGTGTGTGTGTCACTGTGTGTGTGTTACTGTGTGACTATGTATGTGTGTGTCACTGTGTGTGTGTGTGTGGTGTAGGTTCTGGTGAGGCTGTGAACCTGTGTGTGTCACTGTGTGTGTGTGTGTCACTGTGTGTGTGATGTAGGCGCTGGTGAAGCTGTTCTCTGTGTGTGTATCTATCTGTGTGTGTGTGACTGTGTGTATGTGTGTGTATGTATGTGTGGTGTAGGTGCTGGTGAGGCTGTTCTCTGTGTGTGTATCTATCTGTGTGTGTATGACTGACTGTGTGACTGTGTGTGTGTATGACTGACTGTATGACTGTGTGTGTGTATGACTGACTGTGTGACTGTGTGTGTGACTGTGTGTTTATAACTGTGTGTGACTGTGTAGGTGCTGGTGCGGCTGTTCTCTGGCAGGAGGCCGCTGCTCTTCTCCTTCCAGGCCTCCCTGCCGCGCCTGCCGGTGCCAGCCCTGCACAGCACCGTCACGCGGGTACCACCTACACCCCTACACCCCGCTACACCCCTACACACCCCTACACACCTACACCCTACACACACCTACACACACTACACCCTACACACACCCCTACACACCCCTACACAGCCCTGCACAGCACCGTCACGCGGGTAACACACACACACCTACACCCCGCTACACCCTACACACACACACCTACACACACCCTACACCCCTACACACCCCTACATCCTACACCCCCTACACACCGCTACACACCCCCTACACACCCCCTACACACCCCTACATCCTACACACCGTCACACGAGTAACACCACCACCACACCCCACTACACCACCCTACAACCCCCCCTACACACCCCCCCTACACACCCCCTACACCCCCTACACACCCCCTACACACACCCCTACACCCCCCTACTCCCTCTCCCCGCGTGTCTCTCTCCCCGCGTGTCCCTCTCCCCGTGTGTCTCTCTCCCCGTGTGTGTCTCTCTCCCCGTGTGTCTCTCTCCCCGTGTGTGTCTCTCTCCCCGTGTGTCTCTCTCACCGTGTGTCTCTCTCCCCGTGTCTTTCTCCCCGTGTGTCTCCCTGTGTCTCTCCCCCCGTGTGTCTCTCTCCCCGTGTGTGTCTCTCTCCCCGTGTGTCTCTCTCTCCCCGTGTGTCTCTCTCTCCCCGTGTCTCTCTCACCGTGTGTCTCTCTCCCCGTGTGTCTCCCTGTGTCTCTCTCACCGTGTGTCTCTCTCCCCGTGTGTCTCTCTCCCCGTGTGTGTCTCTCTCCCCGTGTGTCTCTCTCTCCCCGTGTGTCTCTCTCTCCCCGTGTCTCTCTCACCGTGTGTCTCTCTCCCCGTGTGTCTCCCTGTGTCTCTCTCACCGTGTGTCTCTCTCCCCGTGTGTCTCTCTCCCCGTGTGTGTCTCTCTCCCCGTGTGTCTCTCCCCCCGTGTGTCTCTCCCAGTGCCTGGAGTCGATGAGGCCCCTCATGAATGAAGACTCTTTCTCCCAGCTTGAGTGTCTCTCCCCGTGTGTGTCTCCCTGTCTCTCTCACCGTGTGTCTCTCTCCCCGTGTGTCTGTCTCCCCGTGTGTCTCTCTCCCCGTGTGTCTCTCTCTCCGTGTCTCTCCCAGTGCCTGGAGTCGATGAGGCCCCTCATGAACGAAGACTCTTTCTCCCAGCTTGAGTCTCTCCCCGTGTCTCTCCCCGTGTGTCTCTCTCACCGTGTTTCTCTCCCCGTGTGTTTCTCTCTCCCCGTGCGTCTCTCTCTCCGTGTCTCTCCCTGTGTCTCTCTCACCGCGTGTGTCTCTCTCCGTGTGTGTCTCTCACCGCGTGTCTCTCTCACCGCGTGTCTCTCTCATCGCGTCTCTCTCACCGCGTGTCTCTCACCGCGTGTCTCTCTCCCCGTGTCTCTCTCCCCGTGTCTCTCTCCGTGTGTCTCTCTCCGTGTGTCTCTCTCCCCGTGTCTCCCTCCCCGTGTGTCTCTCACCGCGTGTCTCTCTCACCGTGTGTCTCTCTCACCGTGTGTGCGTCTGCCTCTCCCAGTGCCTGGAGTCGATGAGGCCCCTCATGAACGAAGACTCTTTCTCCCAGCTTGAGTCTCTCTCTCGGGACTTTGAGTCCGGACTCGGACGGAGACTCCAGCGGTACCTCGTCCTCAAGTCCTGGTGGGCGAGCAACTACGTGAGACTCGCACGGGGGAGACACGGGGGGGGAGACACGGGGGAGACACGGGGGGGGGAGACACGGGGAGACACACGGGGGAGACACGGGGGAGACACGGGGGAGACACGGGGGAGACACATGGGGGAGACACGGGGAAGACACGGGGAAGACACGGGGGGAGACACGGGGGGAGACGCATGGGGGAGACATGGGGGAGACATGGGGGAGACATGGAGACACGTCGACACAAACATGGAGACACGGAGGTGAAGGCATGAGGGCGTGTGGGTGGGTGACTACATGGGTGGCTATGTGTGTGGGTGACTCTGTGGGTGACTCGGTGTGTGGGTGACTCGGTGTGTGGGTGACTCTGTGGGTGACTCTGTGGGTGACTGTGTGGGTGACTGTGTGGGTGACTGTGTGGGTGACTGTGTGGGTGACTGTGTGGGTGACTCTGTGGGTGACTGTGTGGGTGATTTTGTGGGTGACTGTGGGTGCAGGTGAGTGATTGGTGGGAGGAGTATATTTACCTGCGGTCGAGGGAGCCCCTGATGGTCAACAGCAACTACTACGCCATGGTGAACCATCTCCACCACCACCACCATCACCATCGTCACCATCCATCACCGCCTCCACCATCACCACCACCATCACCACCATCAGCAACTACTACGCCATGGTGAACCAGCGTCACCACCATCACCACCATCGTCACCATCCATCACCGCCTCCACCATCACCACCACCATCACCACCATCACCACCATCAGCAACTACTACGCCATGGTGAACCAGCGTCACCACCACCATCACCATCGTCACCATCCATCACCGCCTCCACCATCACCACCACCATCACCACCATCAGCAACTACTACGCCATGGTGAACCAGCGTCACCACCATCACCATTATCATCACCACCACCAGCACCAGCACCACTATCATTACTACCATCACCACCATGATCATCGTCATTAGCATCACCATCACCTCCACCACCACCATCACGACCATCACCGCCATCGCCACCACAATTGCCCATCACCATCATCACCCTCATCATCCCCACCACCGTCACCACCATCACCACCACCATCGTCACCACCAAAGTCACCACCATCGTCACCACCACCATCACCACCACCACCACTAACGTCACCACCATCGTCACCACCACCATCACCACCACCACCACCGTCACCACCACTATCACCACCACCATCACCACCACTATCACCACCACCATCACCACCACTATCACCACCACCATCACCACCACTATCACCACCACTATCACCACCACCATCACCACCACTATCACCACCACCATCACCACCACTATCACCACCACTATCACCAGCACCATCATCATCGTCATTAGCATCAACACCACCGTCACCATCACCACCACTATCACCAGCACCACTATCATTACCACCACCATCATCATCGTCATTAGCATCACCATCACCTCCACCACACCACCATCACCACCACAATTGCCCATCACCACCATCCCCACCACCATCCCCACCACCGTCACCACCATCGTCACCATCACCACCACCATCGTCACCACCAAAGTCACCACCATCGTCACCACCACCATCACCACCACCACCACTAACGTCACCACCATCGTCACCGTCACCACCAAAGTCACCACCATCGTCACCACCACCATCACCACCACCACCACTAACGTCACCACCATCGTCACCACCACCACCACCACCGTCACCACCACCACCGTCACCACCATCGTCACCACCACCATCACCACCACCACCACCGTCACCACCACCACCGTCACCACCGTCACCGTCACCACCACCACCGTCACCACCGTCACCGTCACCACCACCACCGTCACCACCACCACCGTCACCACCATCACCACCACCACCACCACCACCACCGTCACCACCACCGTCACCACCATCGCCAGCCCCACCCGTGCGCATGCTGCGGGCTGGCGGAGTGCGGAGCGCGAGGATTTCCGTCGGAGCGGACCCACACGTGCCCCACCCCCCCCCCCCCCCCCCCCAGGACTTCCTGTACGTGACGCCCACGCACGTGCAGGCGGCACGCGCCGGGAACTTGCTGCACGCTGTCATGCTGTACCGGCGTCGGCTCGACCGCGGGGACATCAAACCCGTAGGATGCACCGCCAACAACACCAACAACAACACCACCACCACTCAACAACACCATCACCAACACGTACACCACCAACAACACCACCACCAACAACACACCACCACCACACGTACACCACCACCACCACGTACACCACCACATACACCACCACCACGTACACCACCACATACACCACCAACACCAACACCACCACCACCAACAACACCACCATGTTCATCGCCACCACCACCACATACACCACCACCACCACGTACACCACCACATACACCACCACCACCACGTACACCACCACATACACCACCACCACCACATACACCACCACCACCACCTACACCACCACCACCACCTACACCACCACGTACACCACCACATACACCACCACATACACCACCTCCACGTACACCACCACCACATACACCACCACCACATACACCACCTCCACGTACACCACCACCACATACACCACCACCACATACACCACCACCACCACCTACACCAACACCACGTACATGCGTGTCTCCGTGTCTCCTCTCCCCGTGTCTCTCTCTCCCCGTGTCTCTGTCTCCATGTCTCCTCTCCCCGTGTCTCTCTCTCCCCGTGTCTCTCTCACCGTGTCTCTCTCTCCCCGTGTCTCTCTCACCGTGTCTCTCTCACCGTGTCTCTCTCTCCCCGTGTCTCTCTCACGTGTCTCTCTCACCGTGTCTCTCTCACCGTGTCTCTCTCACCGTGTCTCTCTCACCGTGTCTCTCTCTCCCCGTGTCTCTCTCTCCCCGTGTCTCTGTCTCCGTGTCTCCTCTCCCCGTGTCTCTCTCTCCCCGTGTCTCTCTCACCGTGTCTCTCTCTCCCCGTGTCTCTCTCACCGTGTCTCTCTCACCGTGTCTCTCTCTCCCCGTGTCTCTCTCACCGTGTCTCTCTCACCCCGTGTCTCTCTCACCGTGTCTCTCTCCCCATGTCTCGTCTCCCCGTGTCTCAGCTCATGTTGCAAGGCGCCGTGCCCATGTGCTCTGCCCAGTATGAGAGGATGTTCAACACAACCAGAATCCCTGGAGTGGAAACAGGTGAGCCGCTCACCCACTCGCACGCCCACTCACCCACTCGCTCGCCCACTCACTCGCTCACCCACTCACTCGCTCGCCCACCCACCCGCTCACCAACATACTCGCTCACCAACCAACCCACTCGCTCGCTCACTCACCCGTTCGCTCACGCACTCACCCACTCGCTCACCCACCCGCTCGCTCACCCACTCGCTCACCCACCCACTCGCTCACCCACCCACTCGCTCACCCACCCACTCGCTCACCCACCTACCCGCTCACCCACCCACCGCTCACCCACCCACCCTCTCGCTCACCCACCCACCTGCTCGCTCACCAACTCGCTCGCTCACCAACTCGCTCGCTCACCCACCCACCCACCCCCTCACCCACCCCCTCACCCACCCCCTCCCCCACCCCCCTCACCCCCTCACCCTCTCCTCACCAGACACGATCCATCACCTGCGTGACAGCCGCCACGTGTGTGCTGCACCCACCCACCCGCTCACCCACTCACCTGCTCACCCACCCGCTCACCCCCTCCTCACCCACCCGCTCACCCACCCACTCACTCGCTCGCCCACCCACTCGCTCACGCACTCGCTCACTCACCAACCCGTTCGCCCGCTCACCTACCCGCTCGCTCACCCACCTGCTTGCTCACCCACCCACTTGCTCACCCACCCACCCACCCACTCACTCACCCACCCTCTCACCCGCTCAGCCACCCACCCGCTCATCCACCCACCTGCTCGCTCACCAACTCACTCACTCGCTCAGCCACCCACCCGCTCATCCACCCACCCGCTCACTCACCCACCCACTCGCTCACCCGCTCACCCACCCACTTGCTCACCCACCCACTCGCTCACCCACCCACTTGCTCACCCACCCACCCGCTCACCCACCCGCTCCCCCACCCCCCTCACCCCCTCACCCACCCCCTCACCAGACACGATCCAGCACCTGCGTGACAGCCGCCACGTGTGTGTGCTGCACGCCGGCCGCTACTTCCGCTTGCGCCTGTACCACGACGGGCGCCTGCTGGGCGCGCGCGAGCTGCAGCAGCAGGTGCAGGCCATCCTGGACGACCGCTCACAGCCTCGCCCCGGGGAGAGGCACCTCGCCGCACTCACCGCGGGCCCACGGTGAGGTGGTGGTGAGCGTGGTGAGGTGGTGGTGAGGTGGTGGTGGTGGTGAGGTGGTGGTGGTGGTGAGCGTGGTGGGGTGGTGGTGATGGCCATCCTGGACGACCGCTCACAGCCTCGCCCCGGGGAGAGGCACCTCGCCGCACTCACCGCGGGCCCACGGTGAGGTGGTGGTGAGCGTGGTGGTGAGCGTGGTGGGGTGGTGGTGGTGGTGTGGTGGTGAGGTGGTGGTAGCAGTGGTGGCGGTAGTGAGGTGGTGGTGAGGTGGTGGTGGTGAGGCGGTAGTGAGGTGGTGTTGAGGTGGTGGTGGTGGTGAGCGTGGTGAGGTGGTGGTGAGGTGGTGGTGGTGGTGAGGTGGTGGTGGTGGTGAGCGTGGTGGGGTGGTGGTGTGGTGGTGATGGCCATCCTGGACGACCGCTCACAGCCTCGCCCCGGGGAGAGGCACCTCGCCGCCCTCACCGCGGGCCCACGGTGAGGTGGTGAGGTGGTGGTGAGCGTGGTGAGGTGGTGGTGAGGTGGTGGTGAGGTGGTGGTGGTGAGCGTGGTGAGGTGGTGGTGAGGTGGTGGTGAGGTGGTGGTGGTGAGCGTGGTGAGGTGGTGGTGAGGTGGTGGTAGCAGTGGTGGCGGTGAGGTGGTGGTGGTGGTGAGGTGGTAGTGGTGGTGTTGTGGTGGTGGTGGTGAGGTGGTGGTGTTGTTAAGGTGGTGGCGGTGGTGGTTGTGAGGTGGTGGTGTTGAGGTGGTGGTGGCGGTGAGTTGGTGGTTTTGAGTTGGTGGTGGTGAGGAGATTGGGGGGGCGGAGGGGTCTAGATGGGGACATGTTGGTTAGTAGCAGGAGACTCCTTGAGACTCCGAGTCTCCTTGAGACTCACTCCTTGAAACTCCTGGAGACTCCTGGAGACTCCTGGAGACTCCTGGAGACTCCTGGAGACTCCTTGAGACTCCTGGAGACTCAGCGAGTCTCCTGGAGACTCCTGGAGACTCAGCGAAACTCCACGAGTCTCCTTGAGACTCCTTGAGACTCACTCCTTGAGACTCACTCCTCGAGACTCCTTGAGACTCACTCCTCGAGACTCCTTGAGACTCACTCCTCGAGACTCCTTGAGACTCAGCGAGTCTCCTGGAGACTCCTCGAAACTCCTTGAGATTCCCTGAAACTCCTAGAGACTCCTTGAAACTCCTCGAGTCTCCTTGAGACTCCTGGAGACTCAGCGAAACTCCACGAGTCTCCTTGAGACTCCTTGAGACTCACTCCTTGAGACTCACTCCTTGAGACTCACTCCTTGAGACTCCCCCACCGTGCCCCCCCCCCCCGCCCCCCCCCCCCCCTCAGCACGGCGTGGGCGCGAGCGCGCGAGTCGCTCCTGCGCTCGTCCCCGCGTTCGCGGGCGGCGCTGGAGGCGGTGGAGCGCGGAGCGTTCTTCCTGTCGCTCGACACGGAGTCGCACGGCTACCAGCCGCACGAGGACGAGGGGGCGGGGGGAGCGTCGCCCTCCTCGCTCGACCGCTACGCCAAGAGCCTGCTGCACGGCAACTGTGACGACCGGTGAGTTGGCTCGCCCCGCCCCGCCCTGCTCCGCTCGCTCGCTCGCTGAGTCACTCGCTCGCTCGCTCACTTGCCCGCTCGATCATGAATTGAGTCGCTCGCTCACGAATTGAGTCACTCGCTCGCTCACGAATTGAGTCACCCACCCGCTCGCTCACGAATTGAGTCACTCGCTCGCTCACGAATTGAGTCACCCACCCGCTCGCCCGCTTGCCCGCTCGCTCACGAATTGAGTCACCCGCTCGCTCACGAATTGAGTCACTCGCTCGCTCACCCGCTTGCCCGCTCTATCACGAATTGAGTCACCCGCTCACTCGCTCACGAATTGAGTCACTCGCTCGCTCACGAATTGAGTCACCCACCCGCTCGCTCACGAATTGAGTCACTCGCTCGCTCACGAATTGAGTCACCCACCCGCTCGCCCGCTTGCCCGCTCGCTCACGAATTGAGTCACCCGCTCGCTCACGAATTGAGTCACTCACTCGCTCACGAATTGAGTCACTCGCTCGCTCACGAATTGAGTCACTCGCTCGCTCACCCGCTTGCCCGCTCTATCACGAATTGAGTCACCCGCTCACTCGCTCTTGTAACTCAATTCTAACCCACTTCCCAATGTGGTATTGACTGCAAACTTCGTATACCCCTCCCCCCGTGACTCTGTGAGTGAGTGTGTGACTCACCCCCGTGTCTCTGTGGGTGAGTGAGTGTGTCACCCCCGTGTCTCTGTGGGTGAGTGTGAGTGAGTGTGTTACTCACCCCCCACTCACCCCCCACTCACCCTTCCCCCGTGTCTCTGTGGGTGAGTGAGTGAGTGAGTGTGTCACCCCCGTGTCTCTGTGGGTGAGTGTGAGTGAGTGTCACCCCCCCCCTCACCCTCCCCCCGTGTCTCTGTGGGTGAGTGAGTGTGTCACCCCCCCTCACCCTCCCCCCGTGTCTCTGTGGGTGAGTGTGAGTGAGTGTCACCCCCCCTCACCCTCCCCCCGTGTCTCTGTGGGTGAGTGTGAGTGAGTGTCACCCCCCCTCACCCCCCCCCCGTGTCTCTGTGGGTGAGTGTGAGTGAGTGTCACCCCCCCCTCACCCTCCCCCCGTGTCTCTGTGGGTGAGTGTGAGTGAGTGTCACCCCCCCTCACCCTCCCCCCGTGTCTCTGTGGGTGAGTGTGAGTGAGTGTCACCCCCCCCCTCACCCTCCCCCCGTGTCTCTGTGGGGGAGTGAGTGTCACCCCCCTCACCCTCCCCCCGTGTCTCTGTGGGTGAGTGAGTGTGTCACCCACCCCCGTGTCTCTGTGAGTGAGTGAGTGTGTGAATGTTTCTGTGGGTGAGTGAGTGAGTGTGTCACCCTCCCCCGTGTCTCTGTGGGTGAGTGTGAGTGAGTGTCACCCCCCCCCTCACCCTCCCCCCGTGTCTCTGTGGGTGAGTGTGAGTGAGTGTCACCCCCCCTCACCCTCCCCCCGTGTCTCTGTGGGTGAGTGAGTGTGTCACCCACCCCCGTGTCTCTGTGAGTGAGTGAGTGTGTGAATGTTTCTGTGGGTAAGTGAGTGAGTGTGTCACCCTCCCCCGTGTCTCTGTGGGTGAGTGAGTGAGTGACTCACCCCCTCGCTCACCCTCCATCGCTGCAGCTGGTTTGACAAGTCGTTCACCCTCGTGGTCTACGCCTCCCCCCGTGTCTCTGTGGGTGAGTGAGTGTGTCACCCCGTGTCTCTGTGGGTGAGTGAGTGTGTGTGTCACCCCGTGTCTCTGTGGGTGAGTGAGTGTATGTGTGTGTCACCCCGTGTCTCTGTGGGTGAGTGAGTGTGTGTGTCACCCCGTGTCTTTGTGGGTGAGTGAGTGAGTGTGTGAATGTCTCCGTGAGTGAGTGAATGTCTCTGTGGGTGGGTGAGTGAGTGACTCACCCCCTCGCTCACCCTCCATCGCTGCAGCTGGTTCGACAAGTCGTTCACCCTCGTGGTCTACGCCAACGGCAAGATGGGGCTCAACGCGGAACACTCGTGGGCTGACGCCCCTATCGTGGGGCACCTGTGGGAGGTGAGCACTGTACACGTGCACTGTACGCGCGCACTGTACGCACACGCACTGTACGCGCGTACAGTGCAGGGTTCTCTCGTTATTCGCGACGGGGGAAACGCCCCCACCGTGGGACACCTGTGGGAGGTGAGCACTGTACGCGCGCACTGTACGCGCGCACTGTACGCGTGCACTGTACGCGTGCACTGTACGTGTGCACTGTACGTGCGCACTGTACGTGTGCACTGTACGTACGCACTGTACGCGCGAATGGGAATTGTTGCGGATGACGACGTTGGCTGTAGGGGAAACTCTGTCCTTGGCCTCTCATGGCTGTGTCACCTCTCCATGGCTGAGTCTCTTGTCACGTTCTCGTGACTGTGTGTGAGTAGGTAAGTGAGTGTGTGGGTGGGTGGGTGAGTGTGTGGGTGGTTGAGTGTGTGTATCTGTAGGTGTGTGTATCTGTGTATCTGTGTGTGAGTGAGTGGGATGTTGAGTATCTGTGTGTTTGTGTGAGTGTGGGTGAGTGTGTGTATCTGTGTGTCTATGTATCTGTGTGTCTGTGTGTGTGTGTATCTGTGTGTGTGTGTATCTATGTATCTGTGTGTGTGTGTATCTATGTATCTGTGTGTGTGTGTGTATCTATGTATCTATGTGTGTGTGTGTATCTATGTATCTGTGTGTGTGTGTATCTATGTATCTGTGTGTGTGTGTATCTATGTATCTGTGTGTGTGTGTGTATCTATGTATCTATGGGTGTACAGGTGGTGATGGCGACCGACTGCTTCACGCTGGGCTACACGGTGTATCTGTGTGTGTGTGTGTATCTGTGTGTGTGTGTATCTGTGTGTATGAGTGTGTATCTGTGTATCTATGTATCTGTGTGTGTGTGTATCTATGTATCTGTGTGTGTATCTATGTATCTGTGTGTGTGTGTGTATCTATCTATCTGTGTGTGTGTGTGTATATGGGTGTACAGGTGGTGATGGCGACCGACTGCTTCACGCTGGGCTACACGGTGGACGGGCAGTGCCTGGGCAGCCCCAACCCGCGGCTGCCTCCACCCCAGCGGCTGCACTGGGACATCCCTGAGGAGGTGGGGGGGGGAGGGGGGAGGGGAGGGGGGAGGGGGGAGGGGAGGGGGAGGGGGAGGGGGGAGGGGAGGGGGAGGGGGAGGGGGGAGGGGAGGGGAGGGGAGGATGATGGTGGTGATTGTAGTGGTGGTGGTGATGGTGGTGGTGGTGATGGTAGTGGTGGTGGTGGTTGTTGCTGTCTTGATGATGATGGTGGTGATGATGATTGCTGTGATGATGATGGTGATGGTGGTGATGGTGGTGGTGATGGTGGTGGTGATGGTGGTGGTTGCTGTGTTGATGATGATGATGGTGGTGGTGATGGTGGTGGTGATGGTGGTGGTTGCTGTGTTGATGATGATGATGGTGGTGGTGGTGATGGTACTGCTGGTGACGGTTGTAACGATGGTGACGATGGTGATGATGGTGACGATGGTAACGATGGTACTGCTGGTGACGATGGTGACGATGGTACTGATGGTGACGGTGGTGACGGTGGTGACGGTGGTGACGGTGGCGACGGTGGCGACGATGGTGACGGTGGTGACGATGGTGACGATGGTGACGATGGTGACGATGGTGACGATGGTGACGGTGGTGACGGTGGTGACGGTGGTGACGGTGGTGACGATGGTGACGATGGTGACGATGGTGACGATGGTGACGATGGTGACGATGGTGACGATGGTGACGATGGTGACGTTGGTGACGGTGGTGACGGTGGTGACGGTGGTGACGATGGTGACGATGGTGACGATGGTGACGATGGTGACGGTGGTGACGATGGTGACGATGGTGACGATGGTGACGGTGGTGACGGTGGTGACGGTGGTGACGGTGGCGACGGTGGTGACGATGGTGACGATGGTGACGATGGCGGTGAATGGTACTGCTGGTGACGATGGTGACGATGGCGCTGGGTGTGATGATGACGATGGCGACGATGGTGACGATGGCGCTGCGTGCGCTGCCTCAGTGCGAGCTGGAGGTGGAGCGCTCGCTGGCGCTCGCCCGCACGCTGGCGGACGACGTCGACTTCCACTCCTTCGCCTTCGAGTCGTTCGGCAAGGGGCTGATCAAGCGCTGTCGCTCGTCCCCCGACGCCTTCCTACAGCTCGCCCTGCAGCTCGCCCACTACAGGGTGACTCGCTCGCTGCTCACTCGCTCGCTCACTCACTCACTCGCTACTCACACACTCACTCGCTACTCACTCGCTCGCTCACTCGCTACTCACTCGCTCGCTCACTCGCTACTCACTCGCTCGCTCGCTCGCTACTCACTCACTGACTCACTCGCTTGCTACTCACTCGCTCGCTCACTCGCTACTCACACACTCGCTCGCTACTCACTCACTCACTCGCTACTCACTCGCTCGCTCACTCACTCGCTCGCTCGCTCGCTACTCACTCACTGACTCACTCGCTTGCTACTCACTCGCTCGCTCACTCGCTACTCACTCGCTCACTCGCTCGCTACTCACACACTCGCTCGCTACTCACTCACTCACTCGCTACTCACTCACTCACTCGCTCGCTCACTCGCTCGCTACTCACTCACTGACTCACTCGCTTGCTACTCACTCGCTCACTCGCTCGCTACTCACTCACTGACTCACTCGCTCGCTACTCACTCGCTCGCTCACTCGCTACTCACTCGCTCGCTCACTCGCTACTCACTCGCTCACTCGCTCGCTACTCACTCACTGACTCACTCGCTTGCTACTCACTCGCTCGCTCACTCGCTACTCACACACTCGCTCGCTACTCACTCACTCACTCGCTACTCACTCGCTCGCTCACTCACTCGCTCGCTCGCTCGCTACTCACTCACTGACTCACTCGCTTGCTACTCACTCGCTCGCTCACTCGCTACTCACTCGCTTACTCGCTCGCTACTCACACACTCGCTCGCTACTCACTCACTCACTCGCTACTCACTCACTCACTCGCTCGCTCACTCGCTCGCTACTCACTCACTGACTCACTCGCTTGCTACTCACTCGCTCACTCGCTCGCTACTCGCTCACTCGCTCGCTACTCACTCACTCGCTCGCTCACTCGCTCGCTACTCACTCACTGACTCACTCGCTTGCTACTCACTCACTGACTCACTCGCTCACTCGCTCGCTACTCACTCACTCGCTACTCACTCGCTCGCTACTCACTCACTGACTCACTCGCTTGCTACTCACTCACTGACTCACTCGCTCACTCGCTCGCTACTCACTCACTCGCTACTCACTCGCTCGCTACTCACTCGCTACTCACTCACTCGCTACTCACTCACTCATTCGCTACTCACTCTCCACTCGCTCGCTCACTCGCTCGCTACTCACTCACTCGCTACTCACTCACTCACTCGCTACTCACTCACTCGCTACTCACTCACTCACTCTCCACTCACTCACTCGCTCGCTACTCACTCACTCTCCACTCACTCACTCGCCACTCACTCACTCACTCGCTACTCACTCACTCGCTCTCCACTCACTCACCACTCACTCACTCGACGCCTTCCTGCAGCTCGCCCTACAGCTCGCCCACTACAGGCTGACTCACTCACTCGCTACTCACTCACTCACTCGCTCGCTACTCACTCACTCACTCGCTACTCACTCACTCGCATGCTCGCTACTCACTCACTCACTCACTCGCTCGCTACTCACTCACTCACTACTCACTCACCACTCACTCACCACTCACTCCCTCACTCATACTCACCTACTCACCCACTCATCACTACACTCACCTCACTCACTCACTCACCACTCACCACCCTCACTCACCACCTCAACTCACTCCACTCACCTAATCCACCTACTCACTCACTCACTAACCTCACTCACTCACTCCCCCCACCACTCACTCACCCCACACACTCACCTCACCCACCCTCACTCACCCACACACAACTCACCCCACACTCAACCAATACCACTCACTCACCCAACCTCACTCACTCACCCACCACTCACT